ATGCTAAGATTTCATTCAAGTAGCTTGAAATTGGTCTGCATGGTATATTTTTATTCTGTTTTAAGCCAGATCTACATGCACATTCACGGTGTTACTGGTGTTGAATGTGTGCTTGAAAGGTATAACTTCCATCATTTGCCCCTTGCCCTCTCCTTTCCTTTTCAGAGCCACAGAAAAAGTGATTTTTTTTGGTCAGCTAGAATTGGTATGACCAGTAGCAAACCAGTTCCTTCTTGTAAGCAACAGTGGCTTTTAGCCTGGCCTAACAGAAAGAAATTTCCATGTTCCTTGTTCCCTTCATGAAGAGAATCACAGAATGGTTTGGGTTGGAAGGGACCTTAAAGATCATCTAGTTCCACCCCCCCTGCCATGGGCAGGGACCCCTTCCACTAGACCAGGTTGCTCAAAGCCTCATCCAGCCTGGCCTTGGACACTTCCAGGGATGGGGCATCCACACCTTCTCTGGGCAACCTGTTCCAGTGCCTCACCACCCTCTCCAGGAAGAATTTCTTCCTGATGTTTAATCTAAGCCTCCCCGCTTTCAATGTAAACCCGTTGTCCTATTATGGATGACAGAAGACACCTTGTCTCACGGAAGGATTAAGTTTTGATAATCTACTGTTTGTTTTCTTTTTGATTTCTGTGCTTTTATTGCTTAAGGTATCTGTCACATCTTAAACCTTGACTAAGAGTTGGATCAGATATTCCTTTGGCTATTTGGAGTTTATGGACTATATCTGGGTAGGTATAGTTAATGATAAAGTAAGGGAAATAACCTTAGCTGTTACTGAAATGAATAGCTGATACTGAGCTGTAAGAATGTGAGAGAACTTTGACAATGTGGACATGCAAAATTATCTCAGGGTCAGAAATATGGTCAGAAATGAGGAGTAGGTTGTAAAAGGTGTTAATGTAAGATTTTTGAGAGAATCATTCAGTTTCTGTGGTGGCTGGGACTTGAGGATGAGTAATAGGGAATGACCAATATGTTAACAATTGAATATGTACTTTTGGGAAGCTCTGGTAGCAATGAAATCTGAAGATACGTACTAGCTGTGCATAAATGCGATGGGAACCTATACAACAGTGAAAATGCGGGCAGGAAATAGCATTTAATTTGGACAGTGTCATTAACATAATGTGTTAATCAGGAAAGAGGGAGACTTGAAAAATAGAAACATGATGAAGTTGTTGTATTTTTCTTCTTATGTTATGCCTCTTAGAGGACTCTTATGTATATATCACTTGGCAGAATGATGCATAAGTGCCAAAGTGTAGAAACAGAGTGGTATTTAAATGAGCAGAAGGAATATATTTGCAACAGCAGAAAAGGTAAACTTTTAAACTGGTAACACCTTCATAGAATTGGAGACTGATCTGCCAAAATAAAAAGATAATAAATTTCCCTGTAGTTCACCATATTTGAAAACAGGTGATGGAAGAATTGTTCAAAAGTGAGATAGGAATAAGTGTCAGAATGATACAGAGCAAGTGAATATGTCCTTAGAAGTGCTGGATTTGCAGATGTAGTGTGTACAGCAGAAGAATGACTATTGAAATCTGCATTTGACTAATAGCTTAGATTTAATTTAACAGCTACACTGCTAAGTCCCCTATGTAAGTCTGTTCTTTTTGCACAAATGCATTTTAGTATTGAAATCTAGTATTAATAGCTTTTCCATGAACTGCAACAACTGTACACATTACTTTCTGACTATTGCAGGTGCCTTCGCATGCAAGATGGTACCGTTTGTTCAATCCACTGCTATTGTAACTGAGATTCTTACAATGACCTGCATTGCTGTGGAAAGACACCAGGGAATTGTGCATCCACTAAAAATGAAATGGCAGTACACCAATAAAAGGGCTTTCACGATGCTTGGTAAGATATTGGGCATCTCCAGTAATTGTGTCTATAGAGCAATGATCTTCAGTGTAGATGGCATGACAGAACAGAAGGCACTGATGTGTCCAGCAGTTCAGAGGTACAGTTAATGCTTACTCTGGTAATGTTTATAAAATAGCTCAAGGATAGTGCCTCTATGTATAGTAATCACTTACCAAAATTCTGACAATAAACATGAATCTGAAGTCAAAGATTTACTTAACCAAGACGCTGACAAACCTTTGGCAGTCTTTATTTTATTTATTTATTTATTTTAAGAAAGGTTCAAAATGTACCAGCGCTGCTAAAGCAATGTCACAGCTGTAAATGGTCCTTCTGTTATAATACAAAGAGAACATAGTCCTGTTCATGTGAAGTTGCCTTTACACTTGAATACCAATAAATGAAGGCAGTTTGAGAGAAAGAAAACTGGTAGCAAGAGAGCATGCTGCTATTGATGTGAATGTTGACTGATGCATGCCTGATATAGAAAACTGTACTTTATTTAAATTGTCTGCTTTGCCTGACTTTTTAAAGAAGAAGCTGTTAAACTGTTCATACCGAAACTTACGCTGCTTGTTGGACATAATATTAAAAAATTGTGTTTGTTTACAGGCGTAGTCTGGTTGCTGGCACTTACTGTTGGGTCACCTATGTGGTACGTGCAACGGCTTGAGGTATGTTAGGTGAAATGGGAATTTACATTTTACAGTCGGTCCTTGCTGGATCTTTTTGTACCTTTAACAGTGAAATAGAATGAACTCCTAGGAAATGGAAGTGGGGTAAGAGAAGTGGAGCTTTTTTTCTGTGTGCCAGCATGAGACAGGCGAAGGATTAGGACTTGTATGCACTGGAAAAAGGACTGTCAGCAGGGACTAGTCACATCTACCCTCCCCAGTTGTGTCAAAGAGCAGTAATTACATCTATGACTTCGACTGTCGCTTCCTTTTGGTTTATAGGTGCACTGGCACCCAGCAGTATAGGACTTAGATTACTGTTTTGGGATGACATAGTGTTCCCCAAGATTTGGAAGAAGTGTGTCTAGTTTAAAATGTAATCAGCTGCCCGTTATAGTTTAAGGAGTTACGGTATACTTTTGGAGGAAAGAAGAGGCTTGTCAGAATCCGCTGCTTGTGAGTCTGAATGTTAACAATTTTTTTTTTTTTAAGTGAGTAATATATGAGGTTTCTATACACCCATCTTTACTTACAAAATGCATATCCAAGGTCTCCTTTGAAAATCCTTGTTAAAAAGAAAAGTTTTGAGGAGGAGTGCAAATCAGAGCATCCTCTGACCTCTCTCTGTCAACTTAGATCAACCCAACACTTGATGTGGAAAAGTGCTTGGAAGAATTTTGTCACTTGAAAAAATGTCTGTTGAATTTTGGTGTGTTAAGAGCAAGGAATATTTGAATGTGCTTGGTTTTTACACTTGGGGTAAACACTGTAGTGACTCCTCTCCTTTACACTTGTTACAGGTTAAATATGACTTTCTGTATGAAAAAGTGTATGTTTGTTGCTTGGAAGAATGGGCCAGTCCAATTTATCAGAAGATATATACGACCTTTATTCTTGTCATACTCTTCCTTCTTCCACTGATGTTGATGCTTTTTTTGTATACTAAAATTGGCTATGAACTCTGGATTAAGAAACGAGTGGGAGATGCATCAGTTCTTCAAACCATTCATGGGAGTGAAATGTCTAAAATATCAAGGTTTGTAAATTAAAATATGGTTGGAACTTTGACTTCTAGAACACTTTTTCCTGACAGTGTATGAAACCCAGTTTGTGTGAGGGAAATACCCCTCTTTCCTCATCCATTGGGAGGTCTACAAGCATAGACCAGCTTTTTAAAGCTAGCTTGTTATTTGACACTTAGATACCCATTTTAAGATAACTTAGACAGATTTTCTTCTGAGTATAGTGTAGCCACACCTTGGAAGTCAAGCCCTTTCAATAAATCTCCTATTATACATTGTGAAATGCTTGTTTTTAAAATATGTAGGCTATGAGTTAGAAAATAACTCGGGGAAAATGCTGCTACATTATTTCCATATGTTCTATGGAAAGTTCTTTATATAATTCTGAGACTGTGGAACACTGCTTTCTGATCCTATTATAAGTTAAATTGGCATATGGGAAAAAAAATCAAAATTCATTTAAAAACTACTTTGGTACAGTTTAACTTGATACAGCTTCCAAGGATTTTTGACTGTTCTCACATGTGTTTGTGTGAGACTATCCAGATGGTAATGCTCTGTCTGAAAAGTTATGAAAATCAATAATTATTGACATTGCTATTTAGCACTAAATATGGGCTGCGCTTTATATTGCCTCGTGTTTTCCTTTTATTTGGTAAATTCATTTGTTGCCTGATGTGCTGGAAATCTCTAATGGCTCTGCTCACTGAGGAGAGTATCACCTGTAAAGAGAATACTGACAGGCAGCTTAAAGATAAATGATTCCTTAGTTATTTGTATAACCAAGTACCTAAGGAAGTGGACTCTTATAAGTCAAAACTGAAAGAGGGTGCAATCTCACAGGAGTTAGTGACATGAAATCTTCAGACTACTCCTCAGTTTATTTCCATACAGTGGGGAGAAGATCTTACTGTAACTGCTACCAGTAAAGTAGCTCAAGTGAGAAATCCATCTTGGAATCTATAAATGTAGTTATATGAAATATATCAATTTGGGGATGATGATAAATGTGTGTATACCTTGAGTTTATGAGATATTACAGTGGAGGCAGGGGGGAGTGTGTATCTTGCTCTTACTTACCTTGTACTTCACCTATCACCAAAGGTTGAATGTTACAGGTGTAGTTTCACTTATTTTCTGTCAAATTCTCTGTGTAATCAGATGCTGCAGGTATGGTCAGTGCTCCCAGATCTAGGAAGGGAATCTTCGTTTTTTTGCTATTCATGGAAATTCATGTGGTTCCCTCCCTACATCTCTTACTATTGGAATTGCATCTGCTTGAACAGAGTGAAAATGCTGCAACATAGGCTAATGTCATTGTTTGCTGCAGCTGCAAAGTGCATTGCTTTCCCAAAGGAGAGAAATAAAAGGTGTTACTTGATGTATTAGCTTTATATGATGTGGCTTTTTTTTTTGTTATAAAGAAAATAATGTATTTCCAAGCATTTTTTTCAGGGTTTTATTTGCATCTGCAACCATCAGAACAGATTTACAGCTCTAACTTGAAGAGACACATCTAACTACCAGTCAGTTCTCAGTGATTCAGTATGGAATGTCTCGATGCAATTTCAGGAAGAAGAAGCGAGCAATTGTTATGATGGTGACAGTGGTGTTTCTCTTTGCAGTCTGTTGGGCCCCTTTCCATGTGATTCACATGATGATAGAATACAGTGAGTATCTGCCATGTGTCATACAGTAAAGCCTTTCTTTTTTCTTTTTTTTTTGATAATGGAATTGCAGGTTGTGAAAAGCTGGTGCTGCTGCAGCATTCGGCTGTAGAGTAGCTTCTGCTAGCACAGGTTAAGGTTGTGCTTATAAATCCTGTATCACTGTCTTTTAATATTGATACATAGCCAACAATAGATGAATTACTCTGAAGTCTACGAGTGATAGATCTGTAGTGCTCATGGAAAATGAGTACGTTTCAAAAAAACTATTATCACAGAATCATTTAGGTTGGAAAGGAACCTCAATATAGTGTTGGGGAGATACCTTATATTTGACATGAACTTGTGTGTCAGCCACATCTCTTCTTCCCTGCTGTTTGAATTAAAAAAACCCCATATAATCTTTATGTCTTGCTATAAACCCTACTTAAGTTTGTTGCAGGGTAGGAGGGAACCCAAACTCTCTGCCAGCTCAGTTAGAACCCTTTAGAAAGGAGATTGTCATTGCTTCTGAATTTGTACAGCACATAATTCAGTCCCAAAAAAGATGTTTGCTAAACTTTACAAGACTCAAGAAAAAGCAAGACTTGACTTTTAAGATGGTGAGCATATCTCTGTATATTCCTTTTCTTTCTGTGTCTGCCATGCTACCTTCATTTGCTGGAAGGTCAGAAGTACCTGTCAGGAAGGTAGAAGTTATTTCCATGTATAAAACCTCTTGACCAAGTAACTTTGTAATTCAAATTTAAGTTTAATTTAATGTGTCAAGGCTTCTATTTGCATCTACTTAAGTTGTCATACTGCTGTGAGTTAAACTGTTACAGAATACTTATCCCTTCACTCTTCCTGATTTTAATGAGTTGGATGTACTGGAAATAAAAATACTGGACATCAACTGAATGTGGTGGGTATCATCTCTCTGAACTTTTCCAGTTGTCTTGACTGGATACAAGCTTGGAAATGCCCTCAGTGCTTGTTATGTTTGCTTTTTGCCATTTTTTCTATTCTGTGGGGTCTTGAACTGTTCATCTCTCATCTCCTGCATGGGCACTGGGATAGCATGTGGGACTATGCAGCAGGCTATGTGTAGGAACAAGAGGAAGTTTTTTAGTAGTTCATGTACTCTGCTTGCCAAAGGCAGCGGCTGTTTCTTTGTCTTCTGTCACAAATAAGGTTGTAGAAGATAAATCAGTAGCCCTGCAGCCTGTCAGCTGAACCAAATGGTGTTTGTGTCTGGGTAGAATCAGAAGTGCAGAAGCTATAACTATTGTCTGGATTGTCCCATGTTAACGTTGTCTGTGACACTCCATGAACTGTTTGCTCTCTTTTCATTGCTAATTTCAGGAATTATTTCAGGTGCTGCAAGGCCTTTATTTTACTTGCCATATAAACCTTTGTAGTATTTTATCTAGAGTTTGGTCACTGAGCATTTGAATTCAATGAATGCAGAGTCCTCTGGGATTTCAGTGATGAAAAAGTGAGACATGTGACCAAGAAGATGCATTTTTACCTCCAGGAGTTCCTCTGTGCTGACACAGATCAGGAATCTGTGTGTGGTCAGGGACAAGACGGGGATTGGTGGTAAAGTACTTAAACATTTGATACGGATGTGAAACTCAAAGCCAGAAGAACAACTTGAATAAATAAGTGCTATATCTAGCAGACTGGGAGCTTTCTGTTGCTGGGCCATTGGGCAAGTTTTTTGGCTCATAAATTGCCTTTTCTGAATGACTCTGTCCTTACTTACATATACACAAAGCAGCACTATGTGGTAGATCTTGGTATTTCCGTGCTGATGAAACCCTATTGCTAATATTAAGAACCTCCAGCAAGTTCTTTCATAGATTTGAAAGACAAGCTTCTAATGCCAGACTGGCTATAAATAGGCAAAGTAGTGGGCATTTATGCCATTCTGTGCTTACAGCATATTTCCTTTTTGCTTTCTAGGTAATTTTGAAAAGGACTATGATGATGTGACAGTCAAAATGATCTTTGCAATCGTCCAGATTATAGGATTCTTCAATTCTATTTGCAACCCTATTGTGTATGCTTTCATGAATGAAAACTTCAAGAAAAATTTCTTGTCGGCCATCTGCTTCTGCGTTGTCAAAGACAATGCGTCACCAACCAGGCAACGTGGGAACTCAGGGATTACTATGAGGCGGCAAAAGGCAAGTGTTTCTCAGAGAGATCCCGTTGACTCGGACGAAGCCAGGAGGGAGGCATTCAGCGATGGCAACATTGAAGTCAAGTTCTGCGATCAGCCAGCTTCAAAAAGGAATTTGAAAAGGCACTTAGCCTTATTCAGCTCTGAGCTGACTGTGCATTCTGCATTAGGAAATGGACAGTAGCATCACACAGGGTTTGAGAATGGAAAAAGCATTGTCTTTATACAATAACTTCAAACAAGCCATTTAAAATAATTTTCTACTTTACGTGCTGAACTGAGGGGGAAAATACTTTGTGGATTATTATAATGTTGGAACAGTGGTTGAGAAAATGTAATATATTTTATAAGGATGAGGAGTAAAACTTTGGAAAATAGTATTACTGTTAAGATTTTTGGGCGGGGGGGGAAATATTCTTCTTAAGCTAATTTAGGGCTTGTTTGCCCTCTGCTTTAGGTACACTAAACAACTATTGCTTGCTCTGTTTATTCTGTCTGGACACTGGCACACTGCTGGACCATACGCAGCTGAATGCCAGAAGACAGGAATGATGGAGAGAGCACACACTTTTTTTGGACAGCTTGGAAATCTGACATGGATATAACATTGTGAGATCTGCTTTCTGCTGCTTTAAGGAAAGAGGAGCTTCAGGTATGAGCTCAGGGAAAATGCAAACTGAGAGGCAATTCTGTTCTAGAAAATTATGTGAAAGAGCCAGCCACAATTTGACTCTGAAAAGATTGAGACTTAAACATTGCATGCATGTTCAGATTGTTAACAGGAAGCATATTTGAAATTAACAATGCATGTATAATTAATGTGCTGTTTTCACAGGTTAATTCTTGGGTACAAATTTAAATGCTGATGTTTAAATTACTGCCCTGTAAACTGCATCGTTCTGTGGAAAAATGTGGAAGTTGAAAAAGTGCCGCACAAGAGCATGCAGATGCTGGAGGTGCAGTCTATAAAGTAAACACCGAGTTTAGCTTACAGTCATGTTTGGCTATGTGACTTTCAAACTATAAGTGTGGTGTTGCCATTTTCTGGAGGGACATAAGGGCCAGATCCAGAGCCTGTTGGGACTCTACAGAAGACTTTCAATTGAATATCCCAGTCTTTTGACCAGATGCTTCTCTGAAGATATGCACAAATTTTTCTGTCCCACCATCATGTTCAAAGTGGATTAATTACTGTCTAAGACCAGGGCCAGTGTTCTGTTATTTTCAGGCTTCACAGTAAGCGATGGGGCTGAAATCCATATAATCATTTTTCCTCTGAGTGGCTCAAACTGAAAAAGTGTAAAAGGGTGCTTACAGGTGTGGGACTGAGGGAAAGATGTGGTCTAGAATGGTATACAGTGATCTGGTCCCATAAATGAGGCTTTGAAATACATGATTTGGAGCTCCAGCTGAGTTTAGGTTGGATCCTTTAGCCAACCTAGATCCAACAGCCTGTGAAGTGTTGGTGCTTACTTCAGTCATTCCTTGCTTCACCTAAGGGGCATTGGTGTTCCCTTAGTGATAAATTTTAGGATTCTTTTAAATTGCTACTTTGCACTTCATTTACAATGAAAATTTACACTAAATTATCCTTGTATAAATGGGAATTAATCTGATACTTCCATAATGTTTATACATTTACACAGGCATTCTGGTGCTGGTTTGTGACATATTTTTTATTTACTGATATATTATTTATACTGTATATGCAACGAGAGAGGAAGACTTGTCCTGACAGCCAGGAATTAAGAGCACTCCTGTTTACGTAAGTGTATCTATTAGATAATAACAGTTTTAGAGAGCTGCGTCTGGGTACAAAACCAGGAATGAGATCAGGTTTTGCTTTGCAGAGTCATGCAGACATGGCCCTGGATATTACCTTTGAATAATGCTGTAAGCAACAGCAACAGTTTTTGCCTGCAATTACAACTGTGACTTTCTTTTCTGTCTTGGCTTATCTTTCATCTTTCTGGACAGGGGCCTTTTACTAAAAGTTTTCTGTGCTGGCTGAAGGTGTTTTATCATCATAGTTTTTCTCTGTTATTGTAAAGTTTGCCTGGCTGATGATAACTGTGTTTTGACAGATTCTGTAACTGAAAACCAATTTATTTGAGCTTTTTATTTATTTGCACTGCTAATTTCAGTGACAGATTTTAATAAGTATTTAACAAAAACTGCCAAGTGTTTTATGTTTTTGTTTCATCTTACCTGTTTCTTCTGTTGTCTCATAAAATGTTATGTCAACGAGTAACTATTGTAGTGTTGTATTACATTTTTCATTAAAATTCCTTTTTGGCATTGCTGGTGCTGTTTCACACTGGGAGCATCGGCTGTAAACTTCATTCTTTGAGTCTGTCTTTGTTTAAAGATTCATATAAGCTTATATGTGCTTTTTTAGTGATTAAACTCCAGTCTTGTTACAGGTGCCAGCTGGTACTGTAAGCCTGAGAGATGTGATTTAAAGGACTTCACAGACTCTGGTGGTGGGGTAACTTGCAGTCTTTAGGTAGGAAAGAATTGGTAAATGTTTCAGCACAGATATAGGTGGCTACCATTAGATTAAATATAAACAAAATTACTAAAGACAGTTCTCGTACTATCCTTAATGATAGCTGTATTATTTGTGCATTTTTGACACAATAGATTTGTCAGAGACAGATAATCTTGTGAGACATTCTAGCTGCAGGGAATATCAAAACCTTTATTGACTAAAGCAGAACCAAAATTTTGCACGTGTGTGTATGTATATATATATATATTTAATCTGTCAGAGCTTCAACTTTGATTTAACTAACAAAACGAACTGTTCTGTTGAATCAGGTCAATTGTCAGTCCAGGCTAGTAGCCTGGCTCTTGCAAAGGCTCTTGCCATGTGTTTCTGCGTGTGTGGCTGTAACTTAAGTACTTCAAACCAGTGAAAGGGAGCACTGCTGTGGAAAGAACAGCCCTGCTGTCCTCCCAGCTAGCTTGCTTACTCCCATCTTTGTATTTACAAAATTGCATGGTGAATCTTGATCAGAAAGATTTCTGGCTAATGATTTTACTGGAGAACAGAACGGTGCTCATTTCCCTAAACTGAGAATATTTATCAAAACTGTTGTGTTGTTTGAAGAAAAATGCTTCCTCAGAAAAGTTTCTTTCTGATATCTTAGTTACAAATCACTTACAATTTCCTTGGCTCTGATCAAATTAATGAGAAACTTATTTTATTCTCAGCTGTAAGGGGCTAAGCCTTAAAGTTAAGATGAGATGATGACAAGAGCCTGAAAGGTCACATTCAACTGAACAGAGACTGGAAATCTGAATGGACCAGGAATAAGTGTTAAATGTGTGGTCTTGCTCAGCTGAAATCGGAAAGTATGAACAAGGAAAACAGTGAGTAGAAGGGAGTGAACCCCCTCAACTGCGCATCTGCTACAGAATTCTCATTCTTCTGGAGGGGAAGGAAAAAAGGATAAACATTAAGATTTCTTCCTGGCAGAATTCTTTTACAGGTTGTGGAGGAGTGGGATTAGTTTCAGAGTACATCAAAGGGATTCATTTGTGGGTTTGTTTTTGAGCTTTAGAAATAGGTACTAGGCTGTAATACTTGGATGAATAGACAGGGAACTATGCTTTTATTGAGGAGAACTGATGCTGCTACGAGCTAATACAGTGCAATGCAGGCATTAAATAATCTGAGGATGATGAACAACTGAACAGAGAACTTGCAGTTCCCCTGTAGTGTCGACAGTGTTTTCATAAGATAGCTGTGGTTAGAGTGAGAGAGGCATTTAGGTGCAGATCAGGAGATGCCTATTTGAAGTGTCATTCTGGTTTCAAGTAGGCTTTGATTGTTCCCTAAACAAGGATTTGTTGGATTTGTGCTGGAAACGGTGTTGCTGACGCAGGGATGTTTTTGTTACTGTTTTGTTGTGTAAGCAGTGCTTACACAGAGTCAAGGCCTTCTCTGTTCCTCACACCACCTCACCAGTGAGCAGGCCGCGGGGCAACAAGAAGTTGGGAGGGGACACAGCTGGGACAACTGACCAACTGACCAAAGGGATGTTCCATACCATATGCCGTCACGCTCAGCATATAAACCTGGGGGAAGAAGGAAGTGGGGATTTTCAGAGTGGCGGCATTTTGTCTTCCCACGTAACTGTTACATGCGATGGAGTCCTGCTTTCCTAGAGATGGCTGAACACCTGCCTGCTGATGGGAAGTGATGAATGAATTCCTTGTTTTGCTTTGCTAGTGTGCACTGCTTTTGCTTTAATTATTAAACTGTCTTTATCTCAACCTGCGCATTTTCTCACTTTTACACTTCTGATTCTCTTCCCCGCATCTCACCAGGAAGGGAGTGAGCGAGCGGCTGTGAGGTGCTCAGTTGCCGACTGGGGCTAAACCACAACAAATACCCGCGAGAAATGATGTTTGTGAGGGGAATGTTAGTGGTGGTAAGGATTTAGAAGGGAGCACGCCCTAGAAGTTGGAGGGAAAGGTGAACAGATGCATGAAGGCTGACGGCATGAGCAAAGCAGAAATAGGCTGTTGAAAAGCACATGTAAGTAGATATAAACCCATGTCCAGGGTCCAAGGCTTGGGTATGAAGTGCAGATGCAAGTCCTTTGCTTAGCCTTGCTGAAAAAGTTGTTGAGCTGAGAGTATGCATCATAAAGCCATCTAATCAAGCAATTGCAATTTTTTTTTGCCTCTTTCAAAGATAGCAATGGCAAGTCAAGAAGATGAGAAAAGTTCAGTTTGAGGCATGAGGGGAAAGATCTTTCGGAGAGTTAAAAAAAGATAGCAATTTAAGAATATTGAATATCAGCCTGTTCAGAGGAATAGTGGGATGCAGCCTCGCTCCAGGTGTCCCATGGTTGTCAAGCCAGCAGAGCTGTACGATGTGCCTGCATCAAGGGGGTAAGTATAGAAATTCTCAGCGTGGCGATGTGTTAGTCCTGTCTATATGCTGATTACATGATCAGCTAATATGTAATGGTTGTATATGGTGCTTGCTGAGCCTTTGAGTATGGTAGAAGCTGTGAAAACAAGTGAACCAGTGGAGGGGAAGGGACACCTAAAAAATGAGAGAAATAAACAGAGAGCATTGAAGATGAAGACTGGATTGTAATTGCCCAGGAAAAAAAAAAAAAGAGATGAAAGGATTTAGTAGAGCTGGTGACTTAGCTTGCCATGATTATCTTCCTAGCATATCTATGTCTTTTGTAGATTAGGGGTGATCTGACCATTACAAAATTACATTGTATTACATTGCACAGTGGCCTTACCTTGTTTTCCTTGGATTTTTTTTTTTGTATAATCCAAGTTAGCCCATAATTTTACTTTGATACTTCTGTTTATGATTTGTCTCTATTTTACATCAATAAATC